TGGTGTAACATACATGTTCGGCTAAAGCTGATTTTCCCTTGTCTAAAGTTGAAACAGCCTTTTGATGTTCTTTTAGCCGTGTACCAAACTGGCGTTTAGACTGACCCTTGGCTTTGCGAAAATATGGCCTAAGGTCAAATAGGGTTTTAAGGCAACCTTAATATTACAATTACTTAAGATTCTCTTGATTGGTTCTGTGACACCTTGAATGTATGGAACTATTGCAAAACCCTTAACAGAGGTATCACCCTCGGAGTTATTTTGGTTCCTACAAATAGGTGGTCTCAGGCAATCATTAAGAAAACGCTTTGGGTAATTGTTTCCCCCTAAAACATTTAGAACATATTCACGTTCATTAGCTTGAGAATCACTGTTTGAGGGCAACGATTCAGCTCTTTGAAGCAAAGTTTTTGCTACGGATCTTTTATGGCTTACTGGGTGATGAGAGTCGTATGACAAGTATTTGTCTGTGTGTGTGGGTTTGCGATAAACATCAGTCTCTAACTTCCCTTCGACAGTTCTGTGTACATTCAAATCTAAAAAAGCTAAATGTCCATTTATCTCACGTTCTACCGGATGGACGGTTCACGTTCTACCGTGAATTTGATGGTACGGTAGAACGTGAGATAAATGGACATTTAGCTTTTTAAGATTTTAATGTACACAGAACTGTCGAAGGGAAGTTAGAGACTGATGTTTATCGCAAACCCACACACACAGACAAATACTTGTCATACGACCAGGCATTAAAATAGCGTGTCCTTGTACACACTTTGCCGGTCCTTGTAAAAGGCGAATGTGCCCTTGTAATTGAAAAGTGTGTACTTGAAAATATATTAAACTGAAAATATATTAATGAAATCCACGCAAAATGGCCAAAGATTTTGCAAATTCTGTTCTCAGAACTCCGGAAATGCCATTTCAGAGACCCCCTTAAAAGCTCGCGTCTTCGACGCTAAACTTCTGGCTTCGGCACTCGTTCTCATAAGTCTGCGCATTTATACCAAAAATACGCCTCTGAAGGTAAAGTGTGTCCTTGTAAAAATTCCGTATTTTAATGCCTGCATACGACTTTCATCACCCATAAGTCATAAAAGATCCGTAGCAAAAACTTTGCTTCAAAGAACTGAATCGTTGCCGTCAAACGGTGATTCTCAAGCTAATGAACGTGAATATGTTCTAAATGTTTTAGGGGAAAACAATTACCCAAAGCGTTTTCTTAATGATTGCCTGAGACCACCTGTTTGTAGGAACCATAATAACCCCGAGGGTGATACCTCTGTTAAGGGTTTTGCAATAGTTCCATACATTCAAGGTGTCACAGAACCAATCAAGAGAATCTTATGTAATTGTAATTTTAAGGTTGCCTTAAAACCCTATTTGACTTTAGGCCATATTTTCGAAAAGCCAAAAGATCCTGTTGAAAAAATCAGAAGACTCATGCTATATATTCTATACCATGCGGTGACTGCGACAAAGAGTAGTTGGGTCATGCAGTCTAAACGCCAGTTTGGTACACGGCTAAAAGAACATCGAAAGGCTGTTTCAACTTTAGACAAGGGAAAATCAGCTTTAGCCGAACATGTATGTTACACCAAACACGAGATTGCGTGGGAAAAACTCTAAAGTAATTACCACAAACAATCGCTATGGTCAAAGACTTTGCCTAGAAGCGTGGCATATAAATATGAGTCATCATGCTTTGAATAGGGATGACGGCGCCTATTTGCCAGAGAAATATATGCATCTTCTTGGCAGGTGACGTCATCCCTTGGGTATTTAAGAAGACACGATCGCAGTTTTAGATCACCCCTGATGAAGACACTAGACTGGAGTGTCGAAACGTTGGGTCTTGATTACAATTCGACTGGGCTTTGTAATCATTTATTTAAACCAGAGTAGCGAGCGAAACATGATTACATGAAGTTTCCTGAATAAAAGTGAGCGCGCGCGGTGTGATGGGAAGATTGAAATGAAGTTGGGGAGGCTCAGCCAGATAATGCGACGAAGTATGGTTTTTGAACCAAACTAGTTGTTTGATCTTTTTTTAAACTTGAAATCGACGGAAATGTGAAAGAAATTGAAATGAATCTTCATAATCTGAGTGTCGAAGTTCAATAGAGTCATTTTTATAAAGAAATGTTGCAATTAAGAGGATATTTATAATCAGATCGCTCGTAACCATTGATATTCGTTTGCAATTTCTCAATATTTTTCGATGCACATGGACAGAAGAAGATGTTGATATTGAATTCACCCCAGGATACTCAAGTACGCCTGAAAATGAAAGTCGAAAACATGTTTTAACACCCCCGGCCCGATGGTTGATCGAACTTCGCTACAAACGATTATTTACGACGCCATATTGATTGCATTAACTCGCAGAGGCTTACTTTATTTAGCTCTTCCCATCACTCCTTGCGCGCTCACTTTTCCCTGACTAGAAACTTCATGTAAGCCTCTGCGCAGGAGAGAGCTATACATTCGAATTTACATTCCAAAGTTTGAATTTTTCTCGTGTTTTATTTAATAATTGCAGAGAATTTTCATGACTTTCGCATAATTTATTATAGATAAAATTAACAGTCAGTAACTGATTGGAAATGCAGACATGCAAGCGGCAATAGTTCGCGCATTGCCTGGGGGCCTGGTGCCTAGTTTACGTATCAGAGCGCGCAGGTTCACGGGATAGCGTCGTTTCAATTTTTTTTGTGCTATAAAGTGTGAACTGAATTCCAGTTCATATTTACAATATATTTATTAAATTTTTCCATCCCAAACGACGGAAAAGGCATCGGAAAGATCTTAAAATGTTATTCAGATCTCACAGGTAAGAATATTTTATTTTGACTTGTTATTTAAGCACTTTAATTGCGAAAGAATGTGTGATTGTTCTTGAGTCATTTGCCTAAAATTCCGTTGAATGTTTGAATTTACCGCGTTCAATTTGCATAAAAAACCTACGAAATGTTGGTTTCTGGACCCTTTTCGAATCATTATAGCAAATTTTGTACTAAATTACGCACTAATGCACTATTATTAACAATTTAACTTACTAACTCTTTGTGTCCTTGTAAATATGTATAGCATCATGTATCCTATTGTCTCATAATTTTTCTGGTATATCATATATATCCATATATACCAACATGTAAAAACTGCGCGCACACTATATATCAGTTTCTATACTTTGTATTTTAATGTTTTGCAGGAACCATCTGAAAAACACTTCTTGTGATGTTGGTTTCCTGAATAAATATTATTATCATTCATTCATTCATTCATTTAATAGCAATAATTGCCTTTGCTGTTTGACATATAAATTATATGGCACTCTACTTGACCCTTGTATATATTAAACATTCGAATGCATTCAAAGATGTGTTAGGATTTTAATACATGAATAAGGATTAGAATTACAGAAGAATTTATAAAGCATTGAATGTAATATTTTCAGTGTTTTGATCTTAATAACCCATTAAAGCCATTATAAAGCTTGCAAATGTGCCCAAATGCATCCCTGCTGTTGCTTTACTTTGCCTAGTGCCAGACAATTTCACTCTTCAAGGGGCCGGAGAGTCTTGCAAGCCCTTAGTGAACTTCAGTGAGTTTATAATGTGTAACATGTTTGTGACAAAATGCCTGAAATGTTTGTTTATGTATTTTCAGATTAACATTGGTGCTGGGCTATCGCCTGTCTCCAAATATTGTTCTCAACAATCAAGGAATTCTGGATTGAGTTGACAAACTGGTGTTGTAAGGTAAGAATTAGCAAGAATAAATAGTCTGCTTTTAGTGCTTTATATGAAAAAAAAATGACAAACTGGCCCAGCTAAGGTGGTCACCCAGGACCTGTTCATATGAGCCATGCTGGCCCGTTAAACCGAGTTAGCTTGCTTTGCCGAGCCAAGTTGTTATTTGTTTCACATGAGGCGGACTAGCCTGGCAAGTGCTATAAGAAATTCCCAAACAATTTTATCTGGTGGGAAAGCGATATTTGTTTTAATTTTGAAAATTGTAATTTTATTGAAGAAAACTGCTTCAGAACTTTTAATATTGGTGGTTAATGTTATTTTTTTTTAATTCTTATATGCTTTCTAGATAATTATTATTATTATTATTATTATTCATCTTATTTAAAAACGGTAGCCCTTCAGATTAAACTGCTTTTCAAGGGGCCGTTAGAATATTTACAAATACGAAAAATCTATTGTACATACTGTATAAAAAAGAAAGCCCATGCAATGAATACTATATATAAATTAGAATGACTCACATATATAACTAGAAATAGTATGTTATGTTAACCCTCCCAGACCCAAAAAATTACTCCTTCGAATCAAAATCCGCCCCACAAGTGGTTGTCATACACTATTCCTCTCCAAATTGGTGAAATAGTTGTTGATTAAAGTTTTGAAGTTACTTATGGAGAGCACTTTGTAGTTGTTGGTAACATCATTTGGAAGATTGTTCCATGATGCCGCACCTCGATATGAAAACGAATTCTTCAAGAAGTCTGTTTTAGGTTTCTCCAAATAAAGTTTACAGTTATTACTTCTTAATGGGTACATATCATTTAGGCAAATTTTAAAGAAGTTGGTCATACATTCTGGCAGTTGTCCTTGTAAGGCCTTAAATGTCATTATCATTTCTCTTTTCTTAAGAGTGGTTTCAATTGGTTCCCAGTGTAAGATATTAAATATATCTTTCGATCTTACTTCGTAAGTTGACCCTGTGATAATTCTAGCCGCTCGTTTCTGCATTTTTAAAAGCTTGTCTGTATGTGTACGACTGCCGTCATTCCACACGTTGGAGCAATAGGTAAAGTGAGGTAAGACTAGTGAGTTGTACATGTTAATTAAGACGTTTTGGTTGACAAATCGTTTGGCTCGTCTTAATAAGGCAATGCTCTTGGATAGTTTTTTGCATTGAAGATCATTGTGTTTATGCCATCTCAGTTCATCGTCTAACGTAATTCCCAGTACTTTTTTATTGGTTACCTGTTTGATGTTATGATTACCAATCAGTATACATGGGTCATAAGAGAAATGTTTCAATTTTCGTTTAGAGGCTATTAGCATAAATTCAGTTTTTTTTAAGTTTAAAGTAAGCTTGTTTGCTATTAACCAGTTATTGACGTTATACAAGTCATTGTTTAGTTTCACTTCTATGTCCGCAGGTGAATTACCAATGCTTGATATATTTGTGTCATCTGCAAACATAGATGCCTCTGTTTGTTCGAGACAGTTAGGAAGATCGTTTATATACAATGAGAATAATAACGGTCCTAAGTTTGATCCCTGTGGGACTCCGCACTTTATCTTTTTCAGTTGGGAATTTGTACCTTGGACTGTACATAATTGACTCCTGTTGGTTAAGTACGATTTGAAGAAGTTAAGGGCTACACCTTGAACTCCATATAGTTCGAGTTTAGCAAGAAGGATTTTGTGGTCGACTGTATCGAATGCCTTTTTGAGATCAAGAAACAAGACACCGTTTATTAAGCCTCTATCCATATTCATTAAATATTTATTGGTTGTTTGCAAGAGAGCAGTTTCAGTAGAGTGATATTTACGGAAGCCAGATTGGCGTTTTGTGATTATTTTGTTGTCATTCAGAAAATTGAGGAGTTGGTTATAAACTATTTTCTCTAACATTTTTGAAATTGCCGGTATGACAGATATAGGTCTGTAATTTCCGCATTCATTTTTGTCACCTTCCTTATAGATAGGCGTAACCTTAGCCTGTTTTAAGTCGTCTGGAAGTACACCAACGTCTAGGATCAAGTTAAAAATATAAAGCAAGGTTTCACATATGGTATAGCCTGCAGCCTTTAACAGTTTGTTTGTGATTTTGTCGAGTCCTGCAGCTTTCCCTAATTTTATATCATCTAGTATTCTGCATAATTCTACTGGTGAGATTTGTCTAAATGTAAACTTATTAGAATTAGCAGTAATATATTGAAGTGGGTCTACATTACTTGGTGGTATAGTTTGTGCAAGCTTAGGGCCAATTTCACAAAAATAATTGTTAAACTCGTTTGCTATATTATCGTTACCAGTAATTGTTTGTCCATTAACTGTGATCTGGTTGATTGTTGTTGTAGTCGTTCTCCTGTTGAGTAAATGATTAATAAATCTCCAGCTATCTTTACTATTTTTGCATTGTTCCAGATTTGTTTTATAATAGTGTTCTTTTGCATCCCTAATAAGTTTGGTAACTTGGTTTTTGCATCTTTTATAAGCCTCGGTATAAGCAGCAGAATTTAGTCTCACTGCCTTTTTTTTAAGGTAATCTCGATGATAGCTAAGTTTTTTAATTTCATTGTTCAACCATGGGCAATGCTCGTTTCTAACTTTTCTAGTACGATAGGGAGCATGGTTGTCAGAAATAGACAAAAATATGTCCTTCCACTCCTGCCAGGCAAGATTTGGATCAGAGTTGTATGTAAAGTAGTTAAACGCTTGTGCTAAGTCTTGTTGGAATTCGTTTTCGTTAAAATGTTTAAACTGTCTTGTTTCTACTATTTTCGGCGTTTTTCTGGGTACTCCTATTTTCCTACAAATATACACCAGATCATGGTCACTTATTCCCAAAGCAATCACTCCTGAATCAGATGTTTTGGTGTCGTCACTTTTTGTAATTATAATGTCTATTAGTGTTTTTGTCGAGTCAGTTGTTCGGGTTGGCTTATCAATGTGTTGCTGTAGTTGGTAGATATCTAGTAGGTCATCCAATCGTTTGGAGTTGCTATTCCTATAGTTGCTGTCCAGCATATCACAGTTAAAATCACCTGTTATGATTATTTCTTTGTTTTCATTGTCAATCACTTTTATGAAATTTTCAAAATCATTAAAGAATTCCATATTAGAACCTGGTGGACGATACCAAGTACTAATTAGAACTGGCTTAGCTTTCAGTTTTTTAACTTGAAGACAAATTGCCTCTGCATTAACTGGAATTAAGTCAGCTCTATTAGTATAGGGAATAACATCCCTTAGGTAGATAGCCACTCCTCCTCCATTGCGGTTTCTATCCTTTCTTATCAAATCGTAACCTGGTAATTTAGATAGAATAAAGCATGCCTTGTGACACAATTGCCAGTCTGGTTTACCGGTCTGGTTTGCCGGGCTGGCCGGGAAAGGTGAGATCTTGCCTTGCTCAAACAGGAGCCCATCAAATTAACCAGGCCAGCCCGGTTCTCGTGTGAATCAAATCTCAAAAACATATAAAAACAATATACATGTACAAGACCAGATCTCGGCACTTGCAAGTCGGTCCAGCTAGACGAATCAGTCTTGATCTTGTAAACAGCCCATATACTAAGGACCTTGTTTGTAGGAATTATTACATTTCTTGATACTGCGTCAAAAATGTACTAAATATTAACAACACAATTACATGTGAATCCTAAATCTACCCCCAATGCAGCCCATTGTAAGGCATGTTGGCCCTGTACTCAATTTTGGTATCCGTAACATGTTTACCATGCTTGGACTACTCCTATTCACCCAGGCCGAGCATGGATAAATTTGGTACAGGCACTAATTTTATCTGTGCCATACTAGGTGTAAAAAAATACCTGTGGTTCCGGTTCCCGATCGACACTATTTTTTTCTGCCCACCCTATTATTTTTTCAAAGTGATTGACTGTGCGACCCTATTTTCTCCGGATGGTTGCGGGCTGCTGCCAAATGACGTCCGTTGTCACACTAATTATTGATTGAGTTTAGCTGAACAACTGGGGTGGCTGCAACCCCCCACCCCCCCACCCCCACCGGGGAGCTGATATCTGTACTCAATAAATGTAGTTGAGATGGAATGTGTTAAAGCAGGGGCACTAAGGGACCCTATAAACTGGTTAAAGATGGCGAATGCATAGTTTTTCTTGTGTTGCAAGATGAATTCCAGCCATTTTTTCTTAATTGTCGGGCTTCCAACTGAAAACTAATTTCCACACGTCACAAAAGTTTATAACTCAAAAAACTTCATTTTTACTGCACTGAAACTTTGGTGAGAAGATTGAGTTTCAAAACTCAATTCAAGATTGAGTATTTGGGACCGTTTAACGGCCCTAAAAAATTCCTGAAAAAACCCCTGGTCTACTGGGTACAGGTCAGGAGAAAGCCTGTCTCTGGTTAGCATATGTATATTTGTCATACCCTGCATCACCTTGTACATACAAATATGAACTGGCTTTGTTATTGGTTAAATAAAGACCTTTTATTACATCCACAGTTAGTAGTCCCTTATACACTGTAGGTTAATGATAAGTCTCAAGGTCATTGTTCTGGCATATTTTGTAAAAAGTAATAATTACATTTTCAATAAGTAAAATATTCCTTTTACAGATTCTAAGATGATGGGTCTTTGATGGCAATTGCATTATTTTCATGCTGCGTGTGGAACAGTATTAATTAAATGTACATGAAGAAATCAATGGACTTGGTGAATGAACAATGGTATAGATAATATTGATTATCAAACGGACAAAATGTTAAACAAAATATGGCTTCAGGTTTTTTTTCAGGGATTTTTAGGGGCGTTAAACGGCCCCAAAAACTCAATCTTGAATTGAGTTTTGAAACTCAATCTTCTCAGCAAAATTTCAGTGCATTAAAAATGAAGTTGTCTGAGTTATAAAATTTTGTGACGTGTGGAAATTAGTTTTCAGTTGGAAGCCAGACAAGCCATCTTTAACCAGTTTATAGTGTCTCTGCTTTAACACATTTCGTCTCAACTACATTTATCGAGTACATGTGTCACCCCCACAGGGGGGGGGGGCAGCCACCCCAACTGTTCAGCTAAACTCAATCTTCTCTGCAAAAACGGACCCAAGAGAAAATCCTGGAAAAAAACCTGGGAGAAACTCAATTCGCTAGAACACATTGCTGTGCTATCAGAACTACTATTTCAGTAAATATATAAGACCAGTTATTTTCTTAGAATGAGAGTTTTTTTCTTAAACTGAGAATGTTAGGTGTAAATTTATATTATTTTTTTATCTAGTAAAAAGTATCTAGTTTTAAGAAAGTTAATCTTAAAATAAGATATATTTTCTTAAAACAAGAAAATGATTAATCTCGAAATATTTTCTTAATTAGAATTTTTTTCTCGCTATTCTCCCTAGTAAAAATTTTCTTGTTTTAAGAAATATTTTCTTCAAACAAGTTATATTTTCTTAATTTAAGATTTAATTTCTTATTATTTAAGAAAAGTTTTCTTAATTTAAGAATAACTAATAAAATTTCTTATTTTAAATGAGATATATTTTTCTTAAAACAAGAAAATGTTTTTTTCTTATTTTAAGAAATATTTTAAGAAATATTTTCTCAGTTAGAAAATATTTCACGCTATTCTCCCTAGTAAAAAAATTCTTGTTTTAAGAAAATAATTCTTGAAACAAGTTTTTTTTTCTTGAAATAAGAAAACGATTTTTTGCTGTGTAGCCTTCTGAAGTTCGCAAAATTTGTATATATTTGTATTATAAATATTTATATTTTCTTCATTTTACAACATTTCGCAACCAATCTTTGCAATTTTACTCTTTTTGAGATGCTCTTTATAAGTGTGGTGTTGGATTTCGATCTCCTTGTCTAGATCAAAATTTCGTCTATACATACATACATACATAGAAATTTATTTAAACACGTTAGCCCTAACATCTTTTGATGGTTTCCATAGGGGACGTGTAAGAATAAGACTAATACATATACATAATACAAACTATTTACATGATTATTTTGACAAATTAACAAACATAAATAAATAACAAACATACAAAACTATTTACATACTTATGGTTTTCGAAAATGTAGTTTCATTAATCTTTTGAAACAACTCAAAGAATTGGATTGTTTAGCAGTAATTGATAAGTTATTCCAAAGAGTTGCTCCACTATAACTGAAGGTCTTTTTCTTAAATTGTGATTTTGGGAATGGAAGTACCAGATCTGTTTGAGAATTTCTTAATTGGTGTGCAGTGTAATTGGACAATCACTTATTTTCAAAAAATTTTCTTTCAGGTTTGGAGCAGTTTCATTATTTAAGATTTTGTAAATAAAAATGGATTTCAAGTATTTTCGCCTATTGTCGAGAGTTTGCCACCCCAAAGTTGCAAGAACATCGGCCGACCTAATATCATAAGATGCTCCTGTTATTACTCTAGCAGCTCGGGATTGACATTTTTGTAGTTTTTCCTTTAGGACGATTCCACAGGTATCCCACAATTGACAGCAGTAGTCAAAATAGGGTTGTATTAAGGCGTTTTAACTGTTTGTAAGAATTGCTGAGGAACACAGGTTTTCATACTGCAATGCCTGCATTGACTTTCTATAGCTGGAATCACCATTGTCATTAAAGTATTACTTGTGATTCATGGCTACTTTTCCCATAATTATCTGATCCGAGTTGATCTCTTCAATTTTTCACTATCTCCATGGTCAAATTAAGCTATACCGAAAATTTTACGATGTGTAGAAATTCAGGGCGCGAGTTACTGCGTTTTGAATTTACACAGTGACATATTCCAGTCAATATAGGAAAAACAACATTTTCAAGAACGCATTTTATAGCGCGCACAATGTTGAAACATCAGAAGAGTTCGATTTTGAGGTCCAATTTCGCCAAATATGAAAATAAGGGAGCTTAAGATGCACCAAATCTGCGACGCGGACGCGACTAAAAAACAGTCGCTAATAATGAGAGACTAGTTTTATTTGGTTTTTCTCGTGTCCCTGGCTTTGTTTGCCAACAACAATCCATCGTCTTTACCCATGAAGTGAAACTGTGAGTCTGCGATGATAGCGGGCAGTTTTTCGTCACGTCCGCGCCGTAGATTTGGTGTATCTTAAGCTCCATATCGATGACGCGAACTCAGATCGGAAATACGAAGCTTTTTGGGCCAATGATTTTCATTGGCTTTATTAAACTCGGGCCGGTTGTTCAAACCTGGGTGAGCGCCAACCCTGGGTTAAAATTTAACCCCCTGTTTTGGTTTGTATATTTCTGCACATCTGTTTATTTCTGAACTTCAGAGAAGAAAACTCCTACTGATTCAGACAAAATCTCTGAAGAAATATTTCCAAATTTATATACAAGCTGTTGGGAAGTTTGCTTTGAATCAGTTAGGTTAACGTAGGGTTAAGCTGATCGGCTTTTGAACAACCGGCGCTTCGGGGAAATGTTTAAATTAAAATCGTTTCAAACGACGAATTTAATTCAGACGAATTCCGTATCACGGATAAAATGTCTGATTTAATTCGTAATTTAATAGCAATTTATGCCCATTTAATTCCCAACGAATTTCTGATACAGCATCATTATATATGCATATAAAATTCAATTTGCCTTCATATGAGAGACGATGGCGGCCGGCAAAATGAGATCTCACCCTGCTCTACAATCTTGGACAAAAATAGTGGCAAAAACTAGTTTATTACTTCAAAATATAATTTTATGACTTTTTGCCCCAATAACCCCCCTTCCCCCAATATCAATGTTTTGCCAATTTATCTGGCCTCGAATACACCCATCAACATTGATATTAGGGGAAGGGGGTGAAATTCGATGAATTTTCTGATTTTGTACCCTTTTGCCAATAATTTATGTCCAAGATACAATCCTGGACAAAAATAGTGGCAAAAACTAGTTTATTACTTCAAAATATAATTTTATGACATTTTTGCCCCAATGACCCCCCTTTCCCCAATATCAATATTTTGCCAATTTATCTGGCCTCGAATACACCCATCAACATTGATATTAGGGGAAGGGGGGTGAAATTCGATGAATTTTCTTATTTTGTACCCTTTTGCCAATAATTTATGTCCAGGATTGTAGGTGGCATCTCAGTCATGTGGCATGAAATTTTCCATATGGAGTTTTTTCCTTACGGAAACATCGAGTTTTAGGTTCTGAACATGATCAGTCGATCAAACGAGGAAGACAGTTGGGAATCACGCATTGTTACGGGGACTTTCCAAGCTCTAGATTAACAAAATAAAGGTTTCAATTGATGAGTGTTCCAACTATGTTTCAACTTCAATAAAATAGGCTACATGATAGTGTTGGGAAAGCATTAAGAACAGTTAAACAAGCTTGCTTGACTGCATGCCTACTTTAATGCACACTTTTCAAAAATTTGCGATTGACAGAATATGCGACAACTAACATTTCAAGTAACCACATAATCATTTTTCTACAAAGTGTCAAAGGCGAGGACAAACGAGAACTTTAAATTCTACGTGCACGAATTTTTAATTGCGACCCGCCAAAAAAGGATTGCGTTTCGAATTTACATAACCGGTATACATTTTGAAAACTTTGTAGTTTTATACACGATCCTTATGAGTTTTAAAGTGGCGAGACGGTTGGATCCAAATTTTCTCGATATCCCACTTCCCAGCATTTTTAAGCCAAATCCCAGTCCTAAATGTGAAAGAAAATTCGTGAGCAGGTGATGACTTTCATGACATATGATGACTTTCAAAAAGGCAATTCTGCTTGTTTATTTTAGAACTCGTTTTGCGGAGGAGAATGTAAATTATTGACTTGCAATAGCAGAAAACCCTTTGGCCTTTTTGACAAGATTTAGCCGAGTTATTAATAGTAATATATATTTTTATGATATAGTAGAGAGTGAGATACTGAGAAATACACAGTGACATATTTTCCATATCTTCACTAGTTAAGATGTCGATCACGTGACTTTTAGTATTTATACAATTTTTTGCTTGGGACTATATAAATAAACAGATATTACACGGTGGCTTGAAAATATGAATTTTATCTTCTCGTGTTAAAAACAATATTTTACTCACTCGCTGCGCTCGTTCGTAAAATATTGTTTTTACCACTCGGAGATAAAAAGTCATATCTTCGCGCCGCCGTGTAATATCCTCTATGTATCAAAGTTTATCGAAAGCCTACACAAGTAACATAGGCTTTTCGGTACACAGATGTCCAAGGCAAATTATATAGAAATAATAAAATAGTCATATCTAGACAAAACGTTCAGTAAGTTCGGATTGCCAGATATTTAAATCATTAATATAGATTTAAATATATTTAATTTATTCTAATTATTGCAATCCGAATTTTCTGAACGTTTTGTTTAGATATTAATATTTTATAATTCCTAAATAATTAGTCATTAGTCTTGGACATCTGTGCACCGAGAAGCCTATATTACTTGTGTAAGCTTCCGATAAACTTTTATACAAATATATATTACCATTAATAACTTGGCTAATTCTTGTCAAAAAGCTAAAGGGTTTTTCTGCTATTGGAAATCAGAGAGGGTGAATAGGTTTTCGGATCGTCGGATTTCACAGAAAAACTGAATTGTCCGGATTTCAGATCTGGTGAATGTTTTACACGGATTTCGGATCTTATTAATGCAGCAGATTGCGGATTTATCTAATATTTTGGCTCGGATCGCGGATTTGTGTACCCCTATTCACCCCCCCCCCCTCCCAGTCAATAATTTACATTGTTCTGGGCAAAACTAGTTCTAAAGAGAGCAATTGAAGCAGAATTGCGTTTAAAAAGTCATCATATATATATATATATATATATATATATATATATATATATATATATATATATATATATATATAAATATATAGATGATCGTTTTATTCAACATCACTTCCAGACATGACTAGATTGCTGAAGCAACGAGCACATGCTGGTATGTCCTTACTTTCATTTGACGGAATTTGGACGCTAAACTTAAATATATTCCATCTGGAGGACATCATATCATTCTCACGCTCGTCACGGCTATTATATTTCCCCCAAAACTCAATCGGCCACTTACTGGTAGCGAATATTGGGATGGTGTTTTCTCGTGGAATACACAAATCAGTGGCAAACATATTCTTTGGCCTTGGAAGATGAACTGTCTGCCCTTCCAGTAGCAACAAAAAGTCACTCCACTCGATCAATTCTGGTGACCATCGAAAATCATTCAAGTATGCGACCTCACATTCCTCTAATCCAACCCAAGCATACTTTCCCGTAGCAGGATTTATGAACGTTTTGTATATTAACTCCAGAGGATTGAGAAGAAATTACTTTCCGCAATTCGTGGGACCAATGAGCAAAACGTTCAATCGCTTCTGTCTTCCCCTCTCAAGAAGCTGATGCAAGGCTGAAGCAAAGTAATATAAATTAATTCCATTTTGTTGCAGGACTTGTTTTGCACACACCAACCACTCTCCGTTGCACAAAGGTAAACATTCGCTTTCGAGATGAGCTATAAGGATTGATATTCTTGATTCTTTCACTCTTTGGACATTTTTGAAATCGTCATTCATTTTCCAAGTCATGTCCAAGAGTTCTGATAGAGACTTTGAAGATTTGTTTATGATAAATTTGTACAAATCCTTTTCGCCCTCAGAATGACGAGTTTTTGCAACGACCATTAACTCACTATCGCTTCTAATATCATTTGCGACAATAAATTCAGAAACATCGATGTTGGATAACTTCTTGGGTTTCGAAGAACTTGGTAGGTTTTCCTTTATTTTCTCATTGTTAGTTGGTGCTGAGATTCTCCTTTTCTTCGCGTTATCAGAAAACTGTGTGAAAGCACGTTTGGTTTTTGGTGAGCCAATTTCTTGTAAATTTGGGTGGCCAGGGCTGTGTAATACGTTGGTGAATGGCTTGTTCTTGCAGACGTATTTGTAGGCGACATGGTAACCACATGATTGGTCGAAAAAATGCAAGGCAATTCCATGCTTTTTGCTTACATAATTTTTCACGGCTTTCCACCGCCTTGGTGCACTTAGTTTGATAGCCAAGTGGTAATGCTTTCCCCCATCTCTATGTTCCTCCATGCAGCATGACCAGTGTTCTGGATGGTTCGTATTATCCTTTTGATTTCCTTGTGATTGTGAAAATGCCTCAAGAATACAATCTGAAAACGCCTGGCAATTTGCTATTTTCCCCAAATCTGCCTGGGAATAAGTGATCAGATAAACACGACGAGTTTGTCTTTCACCGAGCGCCTGACCAAAATCGCTTTCGACAGCGTTATTTTCCATGGTAAACACACTTGAATGACTTGACCAGGTAAGATAAATAAAGAGAAAAGCGATCAGCTTCAGAATTTCGCGCCTTTCGATTTTTGGGACCCAGGCTTAAATCGCGCAGTACCGGAAGTTGTCAATTTCAAAACAAATCAATCTACCTCTGTAT